AATGGCCCTTTCAAATCAGGGAGAACGATCCGCCCCCGATGATGATGTTGTTGTTTGTGGAAAGCACGTTATCCCGTGTTTTTCACTTTGCTTTGCGCTTCCAGGCCCCAACTTTGCAAAGGTCTGGGAAATGAGGAGCAGTTGTTGGCTGAACTCTTGCCTGTTTCCGGGACACCAGAGGACGACAGGGGCTTTCTCTTTCTGGAGATAAGGGATGGCCGTTGTCCAAGACAAAATGTAAAGGTTTAACGACGCTGATAAAAGGCAACGTGTAAAGGTGTGTAGGCCCGGATGACGAACAACCCAGAAGTAGGGCGGCGCGATCTTGCGAAGCCAAGGGCAGCACGATCTTGCGAAGCCAAGCCAGCTCAGATTCTGATTAAGTTCATTTTTTGCACAGTTCATTTTTTGCACAGTTCGGAATCGGAATTAAAGGTGTTTCCACTTGCAGCGTGGAAAGGCTCTCAGTGTAGCTTCCCCACCCCTGATATGCCGACTCCCCGTGGCTCGGGTGGAGGGAGGGCAAACAGCGCAAACAGCGGCGAGACCCGCCGTCACCAGTCTCGCTTGCGCAGATCTAGGACTCCCCGCAGATCTAGGACTCCCCGCAGATCCAGGACTCCCCGCAGACAGAGCGCTCTTGGGCGCCCATCCCGTGAGCAGGACTCTTCTCACCGCCCTCGCTCTCAGGACCGGCGCCGCCAGCCGTCTGGTGGGGAGCGCGACCTTCGCCCTCGAAGCAGCCGTCGGGCTCCCGCGCCCCACAAGTACCTGCCCCAACAACAGGACCCAGGCCCCCCGCCCTCAGAACACGCTGGGAAACTTCTCCTGCCCCGTTTTGAGGATGCCTACACTCCTCCTCCTAGTTGGGCTGGCAATGATGCATACCTAGATGTGAACACTCAATACCACCTGGCGCTCCCCCGCTTTGTGTCCAGCACGGCTTTTAGCCGTGAAAATGGTTGCGCAGGTTTGCCTCTCCACTTGGTACCCCTGATGGCCCTAGTGTACCAACGGGAGAACAATTGGGCTTTGCGGCTGTTAGCTACGGGAAGACCGGTACATGTTGAACTTTTTCGCTCACGCCAAGAAGCTGTACTGGCTGCGCAAATCATCAAGCGATTGCGGGAGGAATCCGCGGGAAACCCTCATGGCGGGGCTGATTTGAATGCTGTGATTTCCGGACAGCTGCAAGCTGGGGAAGATGGGAATGATTGGAACACGCGAGTTCAGGCTGTCAAGAGAGTTGCCGATCGCCTTGTCGAGTTCCTGAAGACACTCGCTCCTGAGAAGCCGGCCACTGACCTGCTCAAGCGCATCCAGGCCTTGGAGCAAGAAAACCAAACATTGCGCCAAGGCGCTGCAAGCGCCCCTTCCCAGGCAGTTCCGGCCCCAACCTTGCCAGCCCCAATCCCTCCTGCGCCTGCAGCGCAGGAGGGCCCAGCCAATTGGAGCCAGTTGCGCCGCACAGCGCCAGCCCAACCGCTCCTTGAGGTTGACGCGCCTAAAGGGTCGAGCGTTTCTTCCATCAACCACTGGGTCAACAACAAGTTCAAGTCCGCAGCCCTGAAGGCCAAATTCGAGAATGCCCATAAGAAGGTTTCAGACTTGTGGGCCCAATTCCAGCCGGGAAGGGACCCCCCTGTCAGTCGCATGTTGGTAGAGTGGGGGCTGGAGGTTTCCCAGACAGCCAAAATCACCGACGCAGCCGGCTTGAAGCTACTAGCGGCTGTTTGGCTCCTCGCGCAACACTGATTTTTGCAATCTCTCTCCCAAACTGGACGAAGCCGACTCCTACTTTCCCTTTGCCCCGCTGCTGCTCTCCTATTTCCTTGGTTTTTCTTCTGTGTTGGTTTGGGTACGATGCATCGGCGCGTCCATTGGCTGCAGAGTTTTTTACATGTACAGTATATTTTCTGGCTACCGTGTGCCACAAAGAGGTCTCGCACCTTGAGAAAAGTGCTTGTGGACGGTGGCGTTTCCTCACGCTACCCCTTTGAGTGGCACGTCAGAAATTCTGTCACCTACATCAAGATTTCGGTTTTCCACTCCAATTGGTACGTTGGAAGCACAGTGCATGACGCGTATTCGCGTGATGGCACGCGGCGCCGCAAACTGGAGCAGTTGTTACGAGGGTCCCTCTCTTTTTACGAGCCCGCATTGAGATTTTGGGCAGCCAATCTGGAAACAATCTTTTCCCTCGATTTCATGTGTGCCATACCCTTGAGTCAACACATTGGTGCTACGGAACTTCGTGGAGCAGAAGATGCTTTGCTACACGCGCTCAAGCCGAAGCTGAATTCCCCTACTATTTACTCTTTGCTTCACAAACTAGGTTTCCCGAACCGACAGTTCATCATGCCAAGAACACGCCTTGGAACCCCCGGCCTTCGCTTTCTACGACAATTTGCAAAGATGCGCAAGAACCGCTTATGGCGTTCTGCATGGTCAATCTCCACCCGCCGGCTTCACTGGAGCGCACGGTTGGCTGAGAACCGGGTTTTGTTTCAGGTGCTGCATGCGTTGGGTTCGGACGGTGTTCAGCGGTATTTGGCCGCGAAGACAATTCGATCCAGGCATTGCGGAATTGAGATGCTGTTTCTGTTGCACCGGCTTGCCCATCACATCGGTGAACCAGCCCAGTCTCGCGCCAAGAACACCATCAATCTTGCTCTCATTTTCAAGAAGAGCGCGCCTCCCCCGAGCAATCCTGTGCTCAAACTGATGGAGCTTTCTCATGGCTTCATTTCTCGGGCGAAACTTTGGATCAGGGAATGGATTCAGTCGCACAAACAGCTGTTTCCTCCCCTTCATTGTCCCAACCAACCCGTGGTCGAGGTTTGCAACCCCTCTCTGAAAAAGTTGCTCTTGAACCACAAGTCCTGGCTGCGTCAGTGGCAGCCTGATGCTCCTTTTAATTGTATGTGCCACCTTGGGCAAAAGCAGTTCCCACCCCTGGACAACGGACACTTTTTCCTTCGGGCGTGTGACTTTCCATGGCTGTCTCCCCTTCAACAACGTGTTTTTGGTCAAAACCTTGGCGACACTGTTTGGCCTACTTGCAATAATTTCATGCAGCAATCTTCTACGCGTTTTGAGTGCTGGCGGAAGCGGTGGCGACTTCCTGAAACAGCGCAGGATGATTGGAATGTGTTTCTTACTCAGGAATGGCATCAACATGAATATACTGCCAAGGAACTGGACGTGCCCAGTGCTACTTGGATTCGGGAGCATGTTGCCGGAAAAACAATGACATCGTTGGTATGTTTACCGGCGGACCATTATGCCAATACCGCTTTCCTTACCTGCCCCGCCCACTTTCATTTTTTGGTCAAAGCTACCTTCACCGACGGCGCCGTTTTCCAAGAGTGTGAAATTCGAAATGCTGAGGAAGTGGTTGCCAGTATTCGCAAATGTTTTGACAAGGTCCTTTTGCGCCACTATGCCTGGGCCTTTTGCTGGGAGAAGTCTCTTCCATATGGGTATGTGTTGCCCAAAGAATCTAAACGGTGGATGAAAGCTCGCCCCATTGTCTCCTACGCCAACTGCTGGGCCACTAGACTTTCCCAATTGGTTGCAACTACCGTCCTGATGTTGCTCCAGACTTGTGTTCCCCGAGCCTTGGTTTCCGTCTCAGTTATGGACATCTTACGTTCTGTTTGGAAAGTGATGTACGCCACACCTGCCTCCACAGAGTTGGATCTCACTCAACAAGACATCAGTGGCTTTTTCAACAGTATCGACCATTTCCGTATTGAGCAGTGCGTCATGTACTTAACTGGGCGGTTTTGCGAGCAGCAAGGCGTTGCCCCTGATTCATACCTACACATCTCTACACGGGCCAACGAGCGGACATGCCGGGCATTTCGGGGACGGTTTCGACAAGCGGGATTGACGTACAAACCGGTTTTGATTTCCCACATCTTTCGTCTGGTCCAACATTTGCTACGCTTCAGTTTCGCCGCTATCGGTCAGCGAATTGTGCAACAAAAGCAGGGTGCCAGCATGGGATCACCTGCAGCGCCAGCGCTTTGCGGTGCTGTTGCTGCTCTTTGGGAAGACCTGTTTTACCGATCTTTTCCTCGCGCGCTTACAAGCCAGGCCCTGTTGGTCAACTTACGTTATGTGGATAACAGGATTCTTTTTCATTGGCCCGAACAGACACAGACCTCCATGTGGCGAATATTCACCGACCGGGAGTTTTTCGTTTCCCCGTTGTTGCTGGATGATGTTGCGGGGGACCAACTTTTGGGGTTCCGCACTGACGTGTTACAACGGACAGTTACGATGCAGCTCCCAACTTCCTCGTCCATGTATCGCTCGTGTCGAAGTGCCAACTCCGATTCATTTCTTTTGTCTGGGTTTCGGGCGCGTGCTCTCCTGATCTGCCGATTTACACGGCCAAGAGAATTGATTCGACCACAACTAGAGGATTTGGTAGAAGCATATCGCCGGCAGGGAGTACCCATCTCCCTCCTTACCCCGCTTTTGCAACCAATCTTTGCACGATTTCAATTGAAGAGGAAAAGAAGGTTGTGGGCTCATGCAGCTTGCAGCTTGCGCAGCCCATGTTTTTCCCTTGTTGTCCAATTTCCGATCATCGGGCATTGAGACTAGTGCACCAAGGGGTTGGTTTGAGATGGGGGCTGAGACACTGCATCCTTTGCTGGGTCCATTCCAATTCCTGATTTTCAACCATTCCAATTGACACGTGGAAGACAGTTGCCCAAGCCCAGCTTGCTTTCACCGCCTGCAGAGCGTTTGGGAAGGCCTGAAAGCAGAGTGCTGACGCGTGCGGATCGCCACACAGAGCTGATAAACCCAGTTTCTTTTCGCAACTAAGGCGCTGCCCTATACTACCCGCTAAGGACTAACAATTGCCAGCATGCTGAACAAGTTGCAGGTTGCCCGCGCCGCCGACCCCCCCCCCCCGCCCCAAGAGGTCTTCAAGGCTGACTCACCGCACGCAGTGAGCCTGGACAATTTGACTCACGGTGTCAATGGGTCCCGCTCTTACGCGATTGCCGCCTTATCGAAGGACTTTCGCCAGCAGAACCTGCGCAGGCCAACTCCTTATCTTAGAGCTGGAAAATGCGCCGTTCCCCCGCATGATGAGCTGTTTTCCGACGTTTTCGCCCCTCCGGGGGCGTGTGTGTGTGCAACCCTCGCGCAAGAAAGAGGGGTCCGTAGGACTTGGACCAGAGGTTTTTTCGCTCTGACATTGGCGAAAAACTGCACGTAATTCATCAGCAGGGGGGCATGGCCTCCACTCACTACCATGCCCAACGAAGCTATGTGAGTGGAGGGGAAGCCTGGATTGGCCATCCAGGTGTACCTGCATTTTGACCTAAGATTTTCCAGTGATTGCTTGGTTTGACTGGTGTTTGCCGCGTTTCGTGTTGCAGAAAAGGATGGCGTTCTCCATCCACCGCTGCGTCTTGACTTCACCTGTCCATTTCACTTGCTTACTCAGGATTGCTATGGAAATTCATTACATACTGAGTGTGTGTGTGTGGGTGCGTGCGTGCGTGCGTGGGTGGGTGCGTGCGTGCGTGCGTGCGTGCGTGCGTGCGGGCGGCGGGGGCGGGCGGGCGGGCAGGCTGGCGTGCGCGCGCGAGCGTGTAGGCGTGCGTGCGTGCGTGGGTGTGGTGGTGGGTGGGTGGGTGGGTGGGTGGTGTGTGTGTGTGTGTGTGTGTGGGTGTGTGGGTGTGTGTGTGTGTGTGGGTGCGTGGGTGCGTGGGTGCGTGGGTGCTGTGCGTGGGTTGCGTGCGTGCGGCGGGCGGGCTGGCGGGCTGGCGCTCGGGCGGGGCGGCGGGTGCACGCACGCACGCACGCACGCGCGCGGGGCGCGTGCGCGGGCTTGGCGCGGGCGCGGGCGTTGGCGCGGGCGTGGGCGGGGCGCGCGCGCGCGGGCGCGGGGGGGTCGCGCGGGTGCGGGCGGGGGCGCGGGCGGGCGCGCGCGGGGCGCGCGGGGCGCGCGGCGCGGGCGGGCGCGCACGGGCCCGCGCGGGGGGGGCGCCGCACCTGGGGCACCGCGCGGGGCGCCGCGAGTGGGGGCGCCGCACGGTGCGCGCGCGGGGGGGGGGGCCGCCGCGCGGGGGGCCGCGCGGGAGGGCGCGGCGCGGGGAGGCGCCGCGCGGGAGGGGCGCGGCGCGGCCAGGCGCGGGCGGGCGCAGGAGAATGTACTGGTGCGCTCTCGCATCACACGCATAGGGAACGGCTGCCCTTTGCCTTTGTGTATTGCGACGAGCGTTTGTTGACCAACTGCCGTCAGCAGCTCACACGCCAGGTGACAAAGCCAGACTCCGGGGCTCTCGGAGACTGTTTTGCGTTCGGCGTGTGTGCGACTGAAGGACTCCGGGACGACCCAGCACGGATTGACCTGGTGAGGCTGCACATGCTCATCGCTGCCAGAGGCGCTTGGCTCGAGAATACCATACCGCGTGTTGATGGGTGGGTTCCTGTGACTTTGTAAAGATGGCGTCTATCGGCGCGCATCTCATTATGCCCATTCGACCCATGTTCCGAGGACAACCGTGCGCCGAGACCACGGCCCCTTCACTCATCAGCCCAACAGCTACGATCTCAACGGCATGGCCGTGCCCGGACCCGGAGATCTGCGCGACCTCGTCGGTAAAGGCTGCATCTCATGCATGCCATGCATGATGGTTTGAGGCATGTTATATGATGTGTCTGTGCAATTCTCGTTGCAGGACTTGGCCACTTCGGCGACATGATCCCGGCCTGGTCCTCCCGCCACGCTTCAGCGGGTAGAACGTGTTTGTGTGTCATGTGCTGTTTCCAGGCTGGCTTTTTTGCTGGCGCCGACAAACCAGGCGCCGGTGTCCTTTAGTCTCTGCATCCACGCATGTGTGCTGTTTCCAGGTTGGCGTTTGCACCTGAGCAAGACGGGCTCCTGAAAGGAACCATGCATCTGACAAGTGGCTGTGGCTCAAAGCTCAAAAAGTGGAACTCAGCTTTGGGCCCCCCGACGGAGTTCATTTCGGGCCGGAGCCTAAGGGGGATTCTTCAGTGTTCGGATGAGGGCCGGCGATCTTGCTGCTGTGCGGTTGTCGCTTGTCATGTCCCGCTTTCCTCAGGTTCACTTTGGGAGGTCGATTAAACTGGGGGATGTGCCTTGCGGGAGTGACGTGAATCCCCGACACCAGTTTCACCGAAAGGGCTCTTGTCTCCCCAAAAACGTTCCTTGAGGCTGAGGAGGGTGACCGAACAACAATCGGCAAGATGGGCCCACGGAAGAGCGAGATCATCGCGAGCAACAAAAAGCACACCCCGAGTGGGATGCCATCATGCGGCACATGCGAGAGGCCCAAGGGTGAACGGATTTGTGAAGGCGCTGGGTTGCCTAAGAAGATCGCAAACCGTGCCCTATACGAGCTCGAGGATATTGGCTTAGTGACGCATGTCTCAGTGACCCCCGCGGTGTGGTCCATGAATGAATCGGTCACACGCTGGTTTCAACACAATGGGCAGGATTCGTGGTTTTCTGCTTTTCTGGAATCGTATGACTGGTGTTTTGCGACAGGTTGCAAGAACAAGTGGTTCCAGCCTATCAGACAGTCTGTCAAGCTTATGCTCGATTTGATTACTGGGATAGGGTCGTACTTACGCTGGAGTTATAAGTGACTTAGCACTTAGCTTGGACTTATAAGTAACTTATCTTGAACTTAGAAAAGAGGTTTTTCTAAGTCCGCTAAGTTCATTCTAAGTTCATTGAGTTGGCAAACACATGCGTTTTGAAGCATGGCAGTGATGAAGCATTACGCGCTGGAAAGCACACATTTTCGTGTGACTCAACGCAACAGGGCAGGCGCGCGCGCATGCAGTTTACGCTGTTTGTTCGCGCTGCTTCGCACGCTTGGCTCGATGGAGCCGGAGCATTTTTTGCACTGACTGACTCGGTTGAACTTTGTTGTGCGATAATCGTTTCTATAGCGGTGTCTCCGCTGGCGGCCGGTCCGCCTTAATATAGTCGCATGGGGCGGTTTCTCCGCCGGCGGCCAGTCCGCCCGTTTTGCTTTTCTCGTTTGATGATATATCATTGTAGCGGTGGTTCCGCTGGCGGCCGGTCCGCCAAGCTATTTTTGCCACGTTCATTTTCATTTCGAGATGGCACTTGAAGCGGTTGTCCGCTGGCGGCTGGTCCGCCCAGGAATATTTCGGCGTTGATTTTTATTTCGAGATGGTACTTGAAGCGGTGGTCTGATGGCACTTTGCGATTTTTTGCATGTTTGGATTGTGAGTGCGCGGATGAAAGGCTGCAAGACTCAATCAAGGCTCCAGAATCCAGACTGCAGACTCCAAACTGCAGACTGCAAACTCCACACTCCAGACTGCAGACTCCAAACTGCAGACTGCAAACTCCACACTCCAGACTGCAGACTCCAGACTGCAGACTGCAGACTCCAGGCTGCAAACTCCAGACTGCAGACTCCAGACTGCAGACTCCAGACTGCAGACTCCGGACTGCGAACTCCAGACTCCAGACTGCAGACTGCAGACTGCAGACTCCAGGCTCCAGAATGCAAACTCCAGACTCCAAACTGCAGACTCCAGACTGCAGACTCCAGACTGCAGACTCCACTGCAGACTGCAGACTCCAGACTGCAGACTCCAGGCTGCAGACTCCAGGCTGCAAACTCCAGACTCCAGACTGCAGACTCCAGACTGCAGACTGCCAGCTCCAGAATCAAGACTGCAGACTCCAGACTGCAGACTCCAGGCTCCCAGACTCCAGACTGCAGACTCCAGACTGCAGACTCCTGACTCCAGACTCCTGACTCCAGAATTCACAGTCCAGACCCCAGAATCCAGCATCCAGACAGCCCCGCCCCAAAGCCCGGAAAGGCCGGTGCAGTTTTTTCGAACTTAACAAAACTTAACTTAACTTAGCCTGGGCGGGTCGTGTGGAGCCGTGGAGTTCCTATTGTAACTCAATCAACTTAACTGCCAAACTTTCCCCGTGAGGCCCAGTTGCGTCACCACGACTTAACATAACTTAACTTGGCCCCGTGGCCAAATTCCACCACAAAATGATCAGGATCCTGGAGTCAGGAGTCATTGTGGAGTCTGGAGTCTGGAATCTGGAATCTCGAGTCTGCAGTCTGGATTCTGGAGTTGGCAGTCTGGAGTCTGCAGTCTGGAGTCTGGAGTCTGCAGTCTCTGGAGTCTGCAGTCTGGAGTCTGGAGTTTGCAGTCTGGAGTGTGGGAGTCTGCAGTCTCAAGTCCGCAGTCTGCAGTCTGGGCTCTATAGTCTGGATTCTGGAGTTGTCTGCAGTCTGGAGTCTGGAGTTGGCAGTCTGGAATCTGGAGTCTGCAGTCTGGATTCTGGAGTTGGCAGTTTGGAGTCTGCAGTCTGCAGTCTGCTGTCTGGAGTCTGGAGCTTGCAGTCTGGAGTCTGCATTCTGGACTCTGCAGTCTTTTTTCTGGAGAGTTGGCAGTCTGCAGTCTGGAGTCTGCAGTCTGGAGTCTGGAGTTTGCAGTCTGGAGCCTGCGGTCTGGAGTCTGCAGTCTGCAGTGTGCAGTCTGGAGTTGGCAGTCTGGAATCTGGAGTCTGCAGTCTGGATTCTGGAGTTGGCAGTCTGGAGTCTGCAGTCTGGAGTCTGCAGTCTGGAGTCTGGAGCTTGCAGTCTGGAGTCTGCAGTCTGGAGTCTGCAGTCTGGACTCTGCAGTCTGGATTCTGGAGTTGGCAGTCTGCAGTCTGGAGTTTGCAGTCTGGAGTCTGCAGTCTGGAGTCTGGAGTCTGGAGTGTGGGAGTCTGGAGTCTGTATCTGGAGCGTGACTGCAGTTCGAGCGGACCCGCCGCTGTGGATCTTCGCGGGCCAGCCGCGAGTGCAATGTGAGCGGGCCCGCCGTTATATGACCGGGCCCGCCGCGATATGAGTCTGCGGGCTAGCCGCGAGTGCAGAGCGTCTGCGCGGGCCAGCCGCGAGTGCAGTCTGAGCGGACCAGCCGCTGGGTGTCTGCGCGGGCCAGCCGCGAGTGCAGTCTCAGCGCACCAGTCTGCGCGGGCCAGCCGCGAGTGCAGTCTGAGCCGACCAGCCGCTGCGATATGCCGACCTGTCGTATCCGAAAAAATATACGCACGCATCGCCCGGTGTAAGGTTTGGACTCGCGTTCAGCGATGTGCTTTGCGACACGTCAGGAGTAAAGCGCGCGTGCTTTTTTCGCATGAGGACGCGCGTCAAGACTCAGCGAGGCAAACTCGTTTTGGGCATTGCTCCGCAAACGCTGGATGCCAAAAAGCTGTTTTTTTCCTAAAATGGTGCAAAAAAACTAAGTTCCAGCTAAGTTCATTCTAAGTCCCGGCACCCGGAACTTAGCTCGAACTTATAAGTGGGCCTATCTAAGTTAACCCTAGACAAGTAACTTATAACTAGGACTCGGACTTAGCAAACTTATAAGTCCACTTGTCCCACGTTATAAGTCCACTTGTAGTAACTTATAACTCAAGTTATAAGTACGACCCTATCCCAGTAGAGCTCGGGGCAATGCCTTTCGGGGGGCGCGGGCGCCAGCGCGGGCGCGCAGGCGGCGCGGGCGCGCCGCGGGGGTGCGCGGGCGCGCGGGGGCGTGCGGGCGGGGCGGGCGCGGGCGGGTGGTGTGGGGTGGGGTGGGGGGGGGAGGCCGGTGCGGGTGCGGGTGCGGGGTGGGTGCGGCGCGGGTGCGGTGCGGGTGCGGGCGCGGGCGCGGGCGCGGGTGCGGGTGCGGGCGCGGGCGCGGGTGCGGGTGCGGGTGCGGGTGCGGGTGCGGGTGCGGGTGCGGATGTGGGTGCGGGTGCGGGTGCGGGTGCGGGTGCGGGTGGTGTTGGTGTTGGTGTTGGTGTTGGTGTTTGTGTTTGTGTTTGTGTGCGTGTGAGGCGCGGCGTTGCGTTGCGTTCCGTTCTGTGGCATCGCGTTGCTTTGTGTGGCAGTCAGGTTTTGTGGCGCGGCACGCATCATGCGTGTTGCATCCGGCATGTGTGTGTGTGTGCTGCGTCAAACCACCCACAGCAAACTGGTGCCTGGCGCGGGGTAAGAGTCCACAGTATCGAGCAAGCGGTTTGGCGAGCCTTTGACTCGATCCATGTCTCCGTTGGAGGCTATGGCTGCCTTGGCTGCGAGGCAACTGGGGATTGGAAGGGAGGGCATTTGTGTGTGTGTGTGTGTGTGTGTGTGTTTTGAGGGTATGCTGTTGTAGGCCGGTTTAGAGGGACAGATCAAGGAAACACGTGACTCTGCGGGGCCCCCTTTTTAGCCTATGCCCGACGTGTAGAAGCTAATTGTTGTTGCCGGGAAATCCAGGCGATATGTCTACTTGGAGACTGATGTTGCCATTAGGAAACTAACCTTGGTTCATGGGGGGCTTATCCCGGTTATTATCCCAGTTGCAACTGTGGTTCTGATTCCAAAGTGGGATGAAGCTGCCAACGGGTTTCACCCGGTGGAGATCACCCTGGCAGATGGGATGTTTCCACCAGTTTTCTTTTCAGCGCTCAGTTCCATGGGATGCCCAGAGGCCGCGAGTCGCCTTTGCTCAGCGTTGAGACGCTTTCTGAAGGGCGGCAGAACCTCCGAATGAGACGCCTTGTGTTCCTTGGTGCGATAGGTAGGGAATGACCCAGGGTGTTGGGAATGAACCTAGGGATTCCCTTGAAGGAAATCATGGGCGATAGTTTGTCGGGGTCATTCTCTCATTCCCTGCTGAGCACCAACAAGTGTTTTTTTTGTTGTTGTTTTTTTTTTAAACGAAAAACAGACAGGTCGACCTCATGTTCTTTCCGCTTGAGAACAGACCAATCGCGACATCAGTTGCGTGGAATCGCCAGGGCGATTCGTCCAGGAACTCTGTCCAGGCCGACGGCAGCCGCTCCACTCGGCTTTTGCGATTTCCACCCGAAGAAACCTGGGAAGTCTGTCAGTGAAGCGAATCGATCCGCCCATTGGGTTTTCCCTTGGTCCATTTTTGGTGGCCCCAAAAGGTTGTTTTGCCTCCCTCTAACAAGCCTTGGTGGCTCCCGACTCCCAACCATCCTCTTAGCTTTTTAGATTTTTGGTGTTTAGTGGGGGTTTCCATTTGACCCACTAAAAGTTAAACGTTTAGCAGGGATCAGGGCAGCCCAGAAGCGAATCGACCGGATCCGACCTTTGCATTTTCCCTTTGTCCATTCTTAGTCATGGCCCCAAAAGGTTGCTTTCCCTCTAACATGGCATTTGCAGGAGGGTACAGGAAAGATCCCTTGGGCTGCTCCACATATGAGACCTCATGCCGAAAAGATGGCAGAACACGAGGATTGTGGGGCACGTGTCAGAGGGGCCTCTCCAAATAGTTGGCATATGTTCAAGCTGCCCAGAAAGGGCGTCCAACTAGCTGTGACACATGCCAAGTGCTAGGCGTCCAACAAGCGAGGCTGGAAGGCCCAGTTGTTCACACAGGCTCCCCACTGAAAATGCCACACCCTGGTGGCGTCATTTGAAGAAGAACTCAATTCAAGCAGAAATCAGCCACTTGCGGCTTCCTGAATTATCTATGGATCCGTGGGTTGTGAGCATTTTGGCACTCTTTGACACGCCCATGGGTTGCTAAAAGAGAGCACAGTACTTTTCTGCCCAAGATGTGCAGAGCCAGTCCAGACTTTGGTTCTTGCGGGCATGTGATGACCGGCTGGATCAGAACGACACAAACACGAGGCCTCCAGGGCGAAGCAAACCAATTTGGATGTCCGAAAGTAAATGCTGTCACGCGGCCATTCCTGAGTGCGTTTCGGGTGAGCTGTGCAGTCCAAGCCTTGCATTTGATCCCACGACAACCGGAGTTGTGATTGGGTCGAGCGGAGCAAACCAGTTTGACACCTGCATGCAGTGGGAGGTATCGGTTGTTTGGTTGTGTCGGTGGATGGGTCAGTCGGTGTGTCAATAGGGTTTGTTCGCTCAGCGGTTGGTGGGGTGGTGGATTGGTGGATTGGTTGGTTGGCTTGGCTTGGCTTGGCTTGGCTTTGTTGTTTTGTTTGTTTGTTTGTGTGTTTGCTTGTTTGTTTGCTTGTTTGTTTGTTTGTTTGTTTGTTTGTTTGTTTGTTTGTTTGTTTGTTTGATTCTTTAATTGACTAACTATCTAGCTACTGCGTTGGTTGGTTGGTGGGACTGGATTGTTGGCTGTTGGGTTGGTTGGCTCGGTCGGGTTTGCGAATCGGGGATTGTCAATTTGATTGCTTGTTGTGTTGCTTGCCTGTTGTATTTACCGTGGATGGACGAAATCCATTTCGCACCACTTTGAAGCCATGGTTGAAATCATTATTTGTTGGTATTTCCAGGGGAATTGAATCATTCCAGGGTTTCTTATTAGCAACCATTCAGAGTAGGTGTCTTTCCTTCGCGCGTTGCCGCGCTTGGCCGCGTTGGTTTGCGTTGCCGCCAACGTCAACATTTAGCCACGCCGGGGGCTTGGTTCACAGCCAGGATTGCTTTTCGGCAGGCGCCAGGGTGGCGGGGGGGGGGGGGCTTGGGGGGTTGGGGGGTTAGGGGGTTGGGGGGTGGAGGGGGGCATCTCAACTTGCTGACACAGAGGGACATATGCTATGCGGTTGGAAAGCAGCTCCCACAGGTCTCATTGGGCTTGTGATTGATAGATGTTGCTCTATCTTGCTCTTTGCCACGCCCAGTCCGCAGTATGCAGGGGGGTTTGGGGGAGATAGACTTTCAGAGTAATTTTCATTTGCGCAGCATTGAACAACATGCTGACTTGCTCCATCCGCGGATGGAGCGACAACTAAACTAGTCTTTTGAAGCACAGCCAAAGTCTTTTAAACCCACGAGGCTGGGTCAAACGCCCCTCTTACTTCTAGCAACCTGGAACAAGTTGCCAGCCTCGAGCCAAGCAGCTGTCCTGTCAAACCAGGCTTGTGGGATCAAGGGGTTTCTCCCCACTTCTGTGATACAAGGGAACCCCCTTTATATGAAGAGAATAGTCTTTGGGAAGCCCTTTCTGTTGTATCACAGAAGTGGTCATTCCCCACAGCCCTGTGTTAAACCAATCAAGGTCACGATTCTCAGTCTTTGCCTCCGAAGTTTGTGACGATTTCAAGTTTGGGCCCCGGTCTTGGGCTTGGCATCACCTTTTAGCCTGCGAGCTTGGCGAGCGAGGGAGCCACTTTGTGGTAAAAATGGGCACCAATTGGAAACAAATGGGTTTGGGTGGACTCGTTTAACAAATTAGCCTTTGTGTACCATGTTTTGAAGCAGCTCGCTTGCCCATTCTCGCGTGCAAGTTTGTTGACCGTGCATTTTTCCCGAGTGCAGTCGCATGGGGTGTGCTTGGCAATTATTTGCATTGTGGGTGCAACGTTAGACACCAATTCTGAGAGAGCCCTTCGTCACAGCTATACGGGTGGCATGTCTCAAAACCGACACAGCCAGATGCATCATGGACGCTGCACAGTATCACCCGGGGTTTTCCACGGAACCCGTGCAGTTTCCTGGCAGTTTGACAGTCGACTCGTAGATTTTTGTGGGTGCTGCCACATTTGTTGCACAATTTTTGCTGGCTGCTAGTCTACGATTTGGGCGGACAAGGCGCCCTTTCCTGCATGAAGTGCACGATTGTCAGTCACAGGTGGACACCCAGCTCTCAAACTGCGGTTTGGCACTGCCCAGGTGCCGTGGTATCATGGGCGGAACGCGTCAAGATGAATTTCATCGGCAGGAAAATAATATAGAAGGGCATCGGCCAATTGGACAAACGCTGTGTGGGCAACAGCGCCTGGATTCTGACGTTTTGGCAGCATGGTCAAATAGATGTGTGTGTGTGTATAAATAGGGCCCCCAACAAGTTTTGTGTTTTTGCCTTGTGGGTTTCCTTGAAAGCATCTCCCGAAACAAAACCCTCAAAGTCCGACACAGAAATTGGCTATTTGATCCTTTGTCAGGCGGTACCTTGGTCTGCTTGCCGCGCAGCGAATCGCTGCTTCCACGTGGGCAAGGATGCACTGGACGATCGGATGCTCGGCAGGGTGTGAAGCAAGGGTGTGAACCCCAAGCCATCAGGACGCGGAGGGAGAACCATTCGCAGGCGGGCGAACTGCTGATCATGTGCATGTTCAAGATTTGGGGCCCCCTTTTGGTTGGTCTTGACAATTTCAAGACCAACCAAAAGGGGGCCCCAAATCTTGAACATGCACATGATCAGCAGTTAAGGACAGCAGAAGGAAACCAGCCTTGCGGGCCTTTTCGAGTATGATTCAAGAAACACCCATGAAATCCAGTGGCTTCCAGACAGTATAATATGAATCATCCCTCTATTATTGTCTGGCTTATTGTCAAAGATTCAACTTCCTTCGTTCGTTCCCTTGTCTGCCAAGAGCGGAAAAAAACCTTTAGAACAAGCCAAAGCGAGAAGAGTGATAGCGGGACGTACACGAGGGAAGGGTTCCAACGCCTGGTCAATGAGCCAATCCTTTCAATTCTTTCCCATCCCCTCTCGTAGACTTTCGGCCGTTTTTTTGACCCGCATTTCTCGGGGGAGCCCGGGGGAGGCCAGGGGGGGGGGGAAAAAGCCCTGTGTTTTCGACCCCCATTCGAAACGGAGATTACGTGGTTGAACTGGTGGGGTGGGCAAAACGCCGGCCAACCCTTTTTCTGGGGAGTGACCAAGCGACCCCCTCTCGCTGAGTTCTACGACGGTGGTGCACTTCCGGCAATCGCAGACCCCGCACCCTTTATTGGTGAAGCCCCACCAGCACGGCAATGCCGAGCGCCTGGGCCAGGTGAAAACGTGTCTAGATGTTGAAGGGCTGTAAGGCCACCAAGAAACCAGCAGATTTTTGGGTGGTTTGCAATGAGAAAGGCACTTGACGTGTGCTTTTGCATCGAGGGCACTTAAGGCCGTGTCGATGGCCTAAGTGACTTTTTGATTCGTTTGCTAAGTGCCCTTCTTAGCTTGATAGGGGTTGGGATTCTATTACAATCGAATAGCCCGTGTCGAAGTGTGACAACTGCCACATTTGATTGGGGCCGACCCGGAAAGCCCGAACATGGCGTTTTGAATGTCAAAGCGTGTCATTTGAGTGTCTGTGGGGGTGCGAATCGAGGTCACTTAACCCTTGAAAAGGTCATTTTCGCTAGTGTTATTCGCGTGTCGCTGCAGCTCGATTTGCCCAGCGTCGGTCCTCTGTGAGTGTCATTCGCATTACGTGTCGCTGCGGCTCGATTTGCTCGGACTCAGGAGGGATCTGCTGGGGAGGGCAACCCTGCCCTTTAAATGGCTTAAATGACCTCTTTGATTTAGGACTAAGTGCCCTTGCTTTCAAAATGGATCATAGCACCCAAAAAATGAATCGAGGGCACTAAAAAGAAGCTGGAAATAGGGTTAGGTGGCATCGTGTGTGTGTGTGTGTGTGTGTGTGTGTGTGTGTGTGTGTGTGTGTGTGTGTGTGTGTGTGTGTGTGTGTGTGTGTGTGTGTTTGTGTGTGTGTGTGTGTGTTTGTGTGTGTGTGTGTGTTTGCCGACTTGCCTTCGATGCCAGAAGTCTTGCTTGGCACACCATAGACAACAAGGAATGGATCTGCCAAAAAAAAACAAGGGCGAGATCACCGATCCGGGGGTAAAACGAGCTCACCCTACAAAAGGTCCTGTACTTGGGGATTCCCTAATTCAGCTTTTAAAATTATAGTAAAATTTGCGGATGGATTGGACAAAGCGAGTTTAGCTGTTCAGTGCCAGAAAAATCCCGTCAACTCCCCCGTAAAAGAGCTGTCTACCATGTGTGTGTGTGTGTGTCAGCTTGAAAGGGCAGACAGGCATGGAACACCGCTACAACAGAGTCCCACATCTTTCAAATGAAATGACACAAAACTTAGCGGATGTGTCTTCGTCAGCTTTGACGCAGGTGCAAACGCCAGGTTTACTTGGCGCCACCCATTTTGTTCGGCTGATTCCTCCGGCATTTGTTGCTGTTTGCTTCAGTTAATGTTCACCCCATATTAATCAACCCCAGTTTATTCATAATGGGGGTTTCCCCTCCAAACGAAATGATTCCGCACTAAACCAAGAAAGAAGCACCCCCCTAATAAAAGAACAAGGGGTTGAAATTTATATGGGGGGGGCGGGTTGGGGATCGGCTGGAGGCTTTCGGTGACTTTGAACCACATCTGGAGCGAGGAGGAGATCCAACAGCGACTGGACAATCTGTACCAGCACCGGCCCAAGACCTTCAGCGACAAGGTGATGCATCGCGCCTTGACTTCTCGAAAGCGCTCGAAAGGCTGGCCGGGTGCCCGCAAAAGAAACACGTAGATCGTATGTATATGTGTACATATTTGTTTGTCTCGTTTATTTCATTGTTTACTTATTCCTTTACTTATTCGTTTGTTAACTTATTTACTTATACAAATATTTTCCCTCAAGGATGCCCTTTCTGGAGGGAGGATTCAGATTTTGCAACCCACCTAGGTTGATTGGTCTGGAGTCAATATGAACCAGCAAACAATACCTGCTCAAGATTCCAAAGACACAGCGCTTGTCCATTCGCACCAACTATATTTCGCTTACAACGGGGTAACGCGAGCTCAGCGATCATTTGCCTTTTTTGTTTTCGTAGATGGGCGTTCGCATCCGTGCCGGCCCCCATGTGTTTGTTGCGGATTCCCTTTTGGGCCTCAAAGGAAGGTATGGCAATGTCACCAGATGATTTGATTCACTGACAGTCAGCTTGTCTGACCACACCCTTGTGCCCAAGAGGTTCCCCTCGTAAAAAGCTCGTGCTCACAGGTTGGGCGACCCGGTTCCAAGAGAGGAGCCTCTTTCGAGTACACAAGAACCAGTTTATGGGGGTTTTGGGGGCTGGTTTCCAGCCAAGGGAGATCTCTAGAATTTGCGCAAACCGGCGTCCGGGCTGACCGTTCCACCCATCCACCTATCGACAAGCTCCCGGACTTCTTCTCCAATCCGCCAACCCTCCTGCCTCCCTCTCCGGTCCCCAACTCGTCCTGCCCCGTCTCCCCCTCCCCCCCCAACCACTGCCGAAACCTTAAAGGCTATGGTGAGTTCATGGAGAGTGGAGGCATGGAACTTGTGAGTTGTCAATGTTGACAGGATGGTCAATGAACTAGTTTCCAGTTGTTATGGACTAGTTTAATTGTCCTGTGGCCTGCCACGAGTTTCTAATTGTTGCTAAGGCTTTTTTAATGTTGGCATTGTAGACGCTGGCTATGGGATTTCTGAAGTTCCAGGCAGCAATACCAGGCACAGACTCAAACTTGTGTTGCGGATTTCAGTTTTCTGCTCTAGCGGTTGTTTGCCGCACCCGAGTTATAGAGCAGCCCTTTCTGATTTCTGTTAGGTTGGGTGTCACGTCTCACCTTGGAATTAAGCCGATTCCGCCCGTACTCCGCGGTGGCTGTCATCTTCGACTTGGGGGTATCGCAAAGGGAACGGGCACCTCCATTTGCCTGAACAATGTGTTTTCCCTGTTGGTATTAACGAGAATCTATCACTACTGGATTTTTTTCCCAGGGGTCTTAAACAAATGGAAGAATATTGTGCGCTTTGCCCGGTGCTCGCGATGGCCGGTGCAAAGATGGCCGGTGCAACTGGTTTTCAAGTGGAGCTTCTGCCCATCTGAGGATTGATGTGGAGCCTTTACAAGGGCTTCAACTGGGTGACAGGCGTGGAGTGCGGTGAACGTCAGCGTGCAATTCTTCCGTTGGCATGGGTGAAGCCTGTGATAGGCCGCATGTTTGGGTTGCATGGCATGGTCCTTTGCTTGATTTGGCGCAGCATGTGTGCATGCATATGTGCACATCGAATATACATATGTATGTAAATATACATGTATATGTGTATGTGGTGCGCGTAAAGATTCGCATGGATCCATCTACCGTACCCGTGATGCGGGGCAAAGATATGGGCAGGCTCCTGCAGTTGGCCGCCTTCTGACTTACAGATGTGTGGTCCAGGCCTCAAACCCGCCACCCCCTCCCCAATTCACCTTTTCCGCCTGTGGAACGGGTGGGTTTAAGTTGGGACACCGCATGCTTCCCACGGGCCAATAGGCGAATTGTAATTCATACCACAAGACAGCGTAAATTACAGGAGCAGGTGCCACACATGTGTGCGCCAGTGTTTGATATGCACTTGCAATCAGCAGAAAACGTGTGTGTGTGTGGCACTGCTTCGGCTTAATCGGTAGCTGTAGAAACTAATATTTCGGCAAACCACGAGGTGCGCGGCGGCAAGTTCGCCATGGAGTCAATTGATCCCAGCTAGGTGTCGTTTCCAAATATGGAACCTGGTTTTCCTTGTGGCAACCCCAAAAAAGGGTACCATCAAAAAAGACGAACCCAAGGCGACCTCTCAGAACGGTTGCGCCAAAGCCGAGGAACTCCATGCAGGCGTAGACTGGTGGACGTGGTTTGGCACTGGAAAATTGGCCGTGCCTCTGTGGCTTGTTGGGCCCTAGGATTTGGCTGCAGCCCGAAACCTCGGTGCTTCCCAAAGGGCCGGTGGAGTTGTTGTCTTTGGGTATGGCTCGAAATTAAAGAGCTGGGGTTACGCGGGTTTTTGTCTTTGGTTCCATTTTGAGCCGCAGCCACATAGGGGAACCCAGGTGGCCGCCTCTTGGTTTCCCCCTCAAGTCAAAACAGGGCACCCTCGAAAACACAACCCTCCGCTGGGTTTTGCCGGAGAGTCGGGTCTGCTTGCATGGCCAGGCTTCAAACCCGAGAACACCCCTGCTGCTCGGCCGAAAGTTTTGTCACGGACAGGTCGCAAAAACGTCTCATGATGGACCCCTTTTGGTAAGAGGCAACCAACTGTTGTCCCGGGTGCTTTGTTCCAGTAACTCCAGTGATACACAAAACATCCGGAGGTAACGAAAAGGCTTCGCCCTACGGTGAATTGGAATATCTTACCGGCTACCAGCATTTTGGGACCCTTGGGAGTCAGCATTTTGCAACTGAAAGTCAACACGTGCTGCGAAAAATTGAGTTGGGTGTTTGGATACCTCTGAGTTCCCAGTAAAATGATGTCTATTTTGAGACATACCCTGTTCTCTAGCTTTGGCCGGTTTTTGAGTTTGCGGGTCTGGGGATTTGGATGCAAGATTCCACATGGCCGTGAGTTGTGATGATTGGAGCGCCTTCCAGAACGGGCGGTAGTCGTACAAAACCAGCCATGTGTTTGTTGATGTCTGCTAACATGGACATGTGAATTGAGTCTCACGCCAATACGGGCTGTGATCGAACAACCGGTTTTTTTGCTGGGACGAGCAAATGAGCAGGGATTGGTTAATTATGTTGTCACAAATCAATGAGCGAACAAGCAAACGGGGAGCAAATCCAAGCCAGCTGAAGAAAGGGTTGATGACAGCTGAAGTGTAACAGCAACAGCATCCTCATGCCTCCTCGCCTATGAAAAGACAATCAGTTTGGTGAGCTTTGGGGAGTGTTGCCCAACAATGAAGTCATCTCTTGAGGAAATCCGCCAGGTTTAACTTTTGACTTTTGCCGGCTTTTTGTGTGGTCTAAGATGGCAAATATCCTGGTCTCTGTATATCTTGCCCAACGCCGACCTTTGACCTTTTGGGCTCCCCCTTTTTGGCACATGTTCAGTCATGGCCCCTGGAAAAGTCCTTTGGGCAACTGAGCTGTACTTGCCACTGCCATGAAGCCTGGATCAAGGGGCTTTTCTGGTGGGTGCCAGGGAACCCCAGAGAGTTTTCACCTTTGGCTTCCGCTTTTCACGTGCTCCCCAAACGGTTCCCTTTTTGGGGTGATTTAAGCAACACCTGTTGGGTTCACTTAAAGTGAGCTTCCTTCTGGTGTGATATTAAAACAAGGATATATATATATATATAGTATATACATGTATATTATTATATATAATTATACATATAATTATGCATAGTTACAATTATATATATATATATATGTATATATATATATATGTATATATGTATACACATACATATTTGTTTCGTTAAGAAGAGCTTTTTTCAGGTTGGTTTAACGAGACACCGAAAGGACCACCGAACTCCGCGGGTCCAAATTTCCCCCCGAAACGCTCGCTCGCCCCGGGGCCGCGCGGCCGAGGTCAGGGCCGTGGAATGGCGACTCATCGTCCTCGAGAGCTTCGCAGGGGTTCCTGGCTTCATGGCTGCCATGTTCAGGCGCGCGGGCGGCAAGCGACCTGCGACCCTTGGACCTGAAGACGTATCCCTTGCGTTTCCGGGAAAAAGGAAAGAAAGAAATAAGGAGAAACAAAAACGCCGAAAAGGGTGCCCGGAAACAAAGAAACAGACCAAGCAGACAAACAAACACGAACTAACAAACAAGCAAGCGAGCCAAAAGAACAACAAACAAACAAACAAGCAAGCAAACAAGCAAGCAAACAAGCAAGCAAGCAAACAAACAAACAAACAAACAAGCAAACAAGCACACATACACACACACACAAATGGTGAACCCTTAAAGACAAAGCTGCTGGAAAAGGGCTGACACCACTGATGCTGAGGGACTCTTTGTGATTTGAAAGGCTTAACATGGTGACAAAAAAGGCCGCCCTCAAAAAAAGCAAGCATTGAATTACTTCGGGGATCAACATTAAGTACAAAGAAAACACAGCCCAAGCGGATGCACAAAGAACGAACTCGACCCTCCCCGTTCTTAGCGCGGCCTACCATTTTTTCTTTTTAAAGACATCCAGACAACGGGATGCCTCATTTGGCTCAAGGCTCAAGTAGGCCAGTTGCCAGGCAGTCCGAGGAACCCATTTGAGTGGGGCGGGCTGAGCAACTCTATAGAGAGTGCAGTACACCTGCGACGAATCCCTTGCAACCATGCTTCGTAATTAAGCACTTGGACGTGTCCTAAATAGGAGATGCCCAAGATGGTTGTTCTCAGTTTGGTTTTCCCTGCAACCGCATCGTCCGTTGGGGGTCAAGAGAACCCGCAACTTGCAGCCAATGCCTTGCCCTGGTTCCTTTTTGCAGTGTCCGTTAACATTTAAACACCATCAAGCGAAAACCGCGTGTTTCCCCACCAAAAAAAAGAGACGGTGTTTTTGGGTTGACGTGCCGGTTTTTGAAGATTCTGGTAGAATTCCAGCCATTCAGTTCCCCTCTTGACACATAAGCAGATTCAGAGGGCCTTTTTCCAGCACGTCGCTTTGTGGGAGCCCAGCTCCGAACTGTGTGGCAATCTCGTCTTGGGTGGTCGCACACCCCCAAACCAAACGCACACCCCCAAACCGGCTTTGGGGTTCCATTTGGGTGTGTTTCTTTTGGGCTCCCCTCCAAAATTGCGGTTTTTCCCCTTTGGTATGCGAAGGAAAGGGTCCCCCCCCCCAAAAAAAAGACGAGCAAGCTGGGACGTGCCAGGCACTTCCGGTGTCTGCGCACCTTGCAGCGGGACCACGGCTGGATCCACACCCTGCGTCCCGGATGGAATGACGTTTGCGAGGTGAGACCATACCTCCATTTGCTGAAGAATATTTTGTGTTTTTCAATTTTCCCTTGTTGGTTGTAAATTTTTCCTGGGGCCTTAACGAAATGGAAGCATAGGAGTAGTCCGGGTGTTGGAAATGAACCAGCTCGGATTTTCTGGAAGCCATACTGTGGCTAAATCCGCGAGTCGCGCGTTGCCGATGTGAGAAAATGCAGGGGTTCTGATTCGATTCCCGAACGTAAATACCAACAAGGACTGACAACGAGTCCGGGTGTTGGATGCAAATGAACCGGTTTTGGGGACCCCCAGATAAAGGAAACTTTGGGTCCTGCTGAGAGCCAGCAAGTTTTAGGTGAGTTTCTTGGAAAATCGATGGCACTGGTTGACCTGGTCGTTCCACAATCTGCCAAGACCATCTGCTTTTCAATCTACCAAGACCATCTCCCTTTCCAGAAGGACACCTATCGGTGCAAGAATTCCAAACTCTTCAATGCTCTTGCCCTCATGCGCCGTGATATTCTCGGAAACTGCTCTTGGACCAGGATCTCCTTCAAAACTTTTTTTTGGTATTTTGGGCGCGCCTAAATGGAAGACAGCCAGGATCATGATTTTTGATGTATCGGCCACGAATGGTTGGAGGGATGGTACATGACATCAACCCATTTCTCGTTTCAGGTTTGAAAGGCTTCGGGCTCTCGCTCTCTCTCTCTCTCTCTCTCTCTCTCGCTCTCGCTCTCGCTCTCTCTCTCTCTCTCTCTCTCTCTCTCTCTCTCTCTCTCTCTCTTTCGGGGTCCCATGGCAACGTTGGCTGGGGCCTCAGTAATTGAATTCAGACCCAGTTAAGCTGAACATGGGTGCCGAACAAAGAACTAATATGTTGTGTGTTTTTTGGAGCCAAAAGCAGTGTGAGGATCCCATTTGTCAACATACCCGGAGGGTGTGGAGTCGTAAAGTGGCCAATGCGTGCGAAGGCGGCAGCCTGCTTGTCAGAATGCGGGTGCTCGTAATCGGTGGGATGGGTCGTGCCCTTGCCATCTTGCAGGCTTGAGGAGGCGGAGAACGAGCGCATGCACCTGCTCATTTGCATGAAGATGTTCAAGGCAGTCACGAAACAGACTTGGCACTCGTGCATGAAATTCTCTCCGAGGGGCAACAAGGATATCAGGGAGAGTTTGGGAATATCAGACGGGGCAGCTCTATCTTCTGCGCGGGAAATAGGGATGCAATGATACCCATCACGCTTAGCTTCGTCATACCTGGTTGCAACACGCACAAGTCAAGTTCCATGTGCTCTGGTAGTCGCGATGTTGGCAATGCCAGTGATGCTGCAGTGGCTGGAAATGCTGGCAATGATGGTAGTGCTGGAAGTGCCGGGAATGATGGTAGTGGTAGTGCTGCTGATGCCGACAATGCTGGCAACGCTGGCAGAGCTGGTAATGCTGGTAATGCTGGCGATGCTAGTAGCTTGTAGTGCTGGTATTGCTGGTAATGCTGTAATGATGGTGGCAATGCTGGTGGTGCTGGAGATGCTGGCGAAGATGCTGATGCTGGGGAGGCTCGTGATGCTGGGGATTCTGGCGATGCTGGTCTCTACTTCGCCCGTTTCTGCTGAACGTGCGCTTGTGGCTTGTGGCATCGAATTCAGCTAGCTGAAATCTTGTGTGTCTCAGCCGTGTCTCTGACGGTAAAGCTGGTAGTGCACTAAATTGCCAAAAACATGTTTTCAGGCCATGCAAGAAGGCTTGGGAGAAAATGTATATGCCACGAAGGGCTCATCAAAATGACCCACTAGTTCAGTGCCAACCTTTTTGGTGCAGTTCCCCACTGCAACTGGACCCCTTTGTGGGGTCCACGTTCTTTGTCCAGGGTCGCTTGCAACTGAGAGCCGAGCCGACCCGCGCCTTGTCGGCTGTGAAAGGCCGGCTTTGTGACACGGTGCCTGGTGCGGGGCTCAGCATGCTATCAAGTCACGTGGCCACATTCAACAGGATGGAGTGTGGCGAAGCGGCCACATTGTGGGCATGTGTGAAGTGCTTGTTTGCTTATTTATATGCGGGTGTCTCAGTATCAGAGACTCCTGTGAATCTTTGGGGACATCAGAAATACGTGGGTTTTTGCAACCACTAACCTTTTCCACCAAGCGTGTTCCGCCCATTCAAATGCAGAAGCAAAAGGGCGTGCCTCAAAATTGGGGGACTGTGCTTGATTTCCACTTTCCCGGTACTCGCTTTTGGCAATGCACCTGGCCACATCCGAAGGATTCACTGAAAAGAACGGATGCTGGCAAAAAGGGGCATCCAGTTACTCACTGGAGTATCCTTTGTATACTTCTCGCCATGGTTACCCCACACAAAAAAAAGCAGTGTTCATCCTTTAGCAGACTTGCAAAGACAGGAGCCCGGCAAAACCGCTCGTACTATCCAGCTGGACACGACCCTCCCCCTCCCCAAAATGGCGGCTTCCTTTTGGTCTGGCGGAAGGGGAGACTGTATCTTTTTTCGCGGCCCGGATAAATCACCGCGGCTTCCAAGGCTTCCGGGCCCAATTCGGCACGCCACATGCTGAAGCCTTTTTGGACCCAATGATTGTTTGTCAATCGTTTGCATAGTGAGCTTGTTTTACCCCCAGCTCAGCTTGTTGTACTTCGCGGTACGTTCCCAAACTCGGCATGATGGTTTCAATAAACAGCATAAGCATATGGGAGTGTTTCCTTGAGTGAAGCCCCCCCACTCCCCCCCCCCCCGCTTCAAACTATCCGACTATCCGAAAAGGATTCACCATTTTGAGACAGACCGATTGGGAAACTACACCCCATCTTGCCAGGTTTGCCTGTCTTTCCCTAAGCATCACCCCACCGAACAGGCTCTTATGAAATTTAAGCCAAAAGGGGTGGAGCAAAATAGGCCCCCAAGCATGGTGTTCCTGCCTTACCAAACAGCGAAAAAGATGGAAACCATCCTCAACGAAGAGGTTTGGGAGGTTTGGGGGGTTTATGGGTGGAAAACCAAAAGGGGTGTTGTTTAAAGCGGTGTTTGTCTGATAGAAGCAGGCTACGGTTGAGAAGGATTTGGTGAATCTGGGTCCATTAAGGTGACATCCTCAAATGTATCCTCGCGGTGGGGACCATTCAAATTTGTCCTCACAGTGGTTCAAAGCCCCCCCCCCCCCAGTGTCCCTTGATGGGGGTGATGCTTTGAGGGGAAATTAATCGGGAGCCCTGTTACGACGTTTCCCCTGCGGCTCAGGTGATGGGCGCGCAGGTTTTCATGACGCCTTTCTTGGCGTCCATCTACGTGATCAAACCAGGCGTGCGGTTCGAAACGCCCGGTGCGATTGAGTTGGTATGGGTCAAACAAAGCGGGGGGGGGGGGTTCTGGGAACCCAGTTGGCTTTCCTTGTGGTTTCTCATGAAACAAAAGCATGGCAAAGGGACCTTCAACAAAAACATGCAACCGGGTGGTTTCTGATCTTGGCGCACCCCCCCAACACTCCTTCTCAAAGAAAATGCCGCAACTGCCCCAATTTGAAGGGAAATGAGAGGGAGACCTACCCACTGTCTATTAGCTGGATCCTATTCAGGGCACCATGACGTAAAGGAGTTTTGGATATGGCACATATGGGCACCCCGCGGGAGAGACCCACCTCCGCTATCGACTCTGCCAGGGCAGGGATGAACAGAAAGAACAAATGAGAAGCAACTCAGTGGAATCTCTTGAGATTGGACCTTTTCTTGGATTGGTTGGTTTCTGGTCCTCCCTGAGTTCGTGGTAAACAAACAGCTTGGACATTTTTGGCCAAGCCACTCAGGAAATGAGATGATTGATTTCAGGGGCCATATCATTGATGTTTGTGTTTCTCTCAACAGTTGCAGCCTTCCCATAAAAACAAGTTGAGCCAAATGGGAAAAGGCGGTCAGTCATCGCCTGCTGCAAATCCACGTCGAAAGAGGGTAGAAACAGAGGATGGTTGCCAGGTTCCTTTGCAGGCATAAACAACACCACCACAAGCCATTTGCTACTTCCCCCACATGCGAAAATCTGAAAGCCTCTTGTTCTTGTGGACATGTCAAAAAGCCCCCATGCCCTTTCCGCGCCCCGTAGACTACTGCTATGGTGGCTATTTTATTTACCCACCGCCGCATTGCCTTGAGGTCCACAAAGGGCTTCTCCCAACACAGCCACCAACACGTCCAGCTGCTAAAGCCAGACGCCCGACAAGTACCACCAAATGGCTGTGGGTCAAAAATAGGGTACAGGTACCCAAAATGGCTTGCCCTGGCAAATGTCGAGCCAAGGACTAAAACCCAGCGGTTTACTCGTGCTTTGATTTTGGCCCATGCCCAAATCGCAAGCCCCGCAAGTCCCGCAGGTCTTCTGTGGGGCTGAACGACCATTTCCTTACACCAAATCAAACGAATGCAATGGCTGCATGGTGTCAGCTAGGTGCATGCATGATGCATTCAAAAAGGTCCAAAACCGATCATGTTGAGGTTTCCTCTTGTTGACATCTCAAAGGGGGGGGGGGCAGCAAGTGGCGATGAACACACAGAGTCACACACACACACCCACATGCACACAGAGCACACATACACTCACAGAGACACACTGGCACAGAGACTGGCGCAGAGACACATAGAGACACAAACAGACACACACACACACATACCTCAACTACGCTTTGTCCAACAATCATGGGAGTGGTCAGCGGGCCTGTTTGAATGATGTTGGTTCTCTACCTGCTCTTCACTTGCGACCGCACGGGCAGGCAGGGTTTCCTTTTCCTTGTAGCTATATTCTGAACAAACCTCGGGCGTTTGTGTGTTGCCAGATGCCGTGCACCGCTTCGTGGGGTATTTGGCCGCCCGGCAAAAAAGGCGCCTTCAACGGGGGCACGCTGGACATGGGGTGAATTTTGCTTGCCCCAACAGCTTATTATGATACAGATAATGTGTGATATATAGAACACTATATACATACATATATATATATATATGATCATCCTACCAATGATCGCAATACCGATGCTGAGAATGAATTTGTTTTTCTAAACCAGTCTGCAAGTCTCCATCCTTTGCCTTCTGCGGGGAAACTGAGGCATAGCCTAAAGGTGCAGAACCCTTCTAGAGGGATGTCCATTTCTGGACGGCCATCAGATCAGAGACATCCCAAATGGTAGGTGTGTTCTTTCAGTTTGCTTTGACAATCTTCTGATGACGCTTTTCCCCATCAGAGACGCTAGGAAACCCCTGCCCAAGGTTATCAGAACCCCCTTCAACCCTGGGGGTGAAGCGGTTCGCTCATCTTAGGCCCCATGCGGACAAGTCTTGCTGTTTTGTAGGCGGCTTCAAAGTGTTCCAAAGGCCCCCAAGAGCGCACCGACTGAAAGACACCGTCACATATCGGGGGGGGAGGGCTACACAGGAGCCGAAAGCGATGAGTAGCTGCATCGAACTTGTTTATTTGACTTGCAAACCTTCAATATTTTAACGCCTCCGGCTCAGGCCGCCGACATTACAGGCCTGCTTTCTTATTTGCGTCCCTTTGGAATTGTCCCCTTGCCCCCTTCCCCTCTGAGATTTTTGCCCCCCTTTCTTTGTTGAGATCCATTCCCCCTTTCCGCCCTAAGGCCTTTTCTCCCTCTGATTTTTTCCCTTGGCCTCCCTAAGATGTTTTCCCCCCTCTCCCTGTTCAGATCCTTTCCCCCCTTTCCCCCCTAAGGCCTTTTCCCCCCTGAGATCTTCTCCCTTTTCCTCCCTTTCCCCCACTTTCCCCCCTACGGCCTTTTCCTCCCTGGGATCTTTTTCCTTTCCTCCCTGAGATCTTTCCCCCCCTTTCCCTGTTGAGATCCTTTCCCCCCTTCCCTTTAAGGCCTTTCCAGATCTTTTCCCTTTTCCTTCCTAAGATTGTTTCCCCCCTTTCCCTGTTGAGATCCTTCCCACCCTTTCCCCCCTCAGGCCTTTCCCCCCCCTGAGAGCTTCTCCCTTTTCCTTCCTTAGATCTTTCCCCCCTTTCCCTGTTGGCCTTTTTTCCCCCAGATCTTCTCCCTTTCCTCCCTAAGATCTTTTCCACCCCTTTCCCTGTTGAGATCATTTCTCCCCTTTCCCCCCTAAGGCCTTTGTCCCCAGATCTTCTCCCTTTCCTCCCTAAGATCTTCCCCCCCCCCCCCTTTCCCTGCTGAGATCCTTTTCCCCCTTTCCCCCCTAAGGCCTTTCCCCCCCCTGAGAGCTTCTCCCTTTTCCTTCCGAGATCTTTTCCCCCCTTTCCCTGTTAGGCTTCCCCCCTAAGTCCTTTTCTCCCAGATCGTCTCCCTTTCCTCCCTAAGATCTTCCACCCCCTTTCCTTTTTAAGATCTTTCCCACCCTTTCCCTGTTGAGATCCTTTCCCCCCTTTCCCTCCCAAGGCCTTTCCCCCCCCTGAGAGCTTCTCCCTTTTCCTTCCTAAGATCTTTTCCCCCCTTTCCCTGTTGGGCTTTCCCCCCTAAGTCCTTTTCTCCCAGATCTTCTCCCTTTCCTCCCTAAGATCTTCCCCCCCCCCTTTCCTCCTTAAGATCTTTCCCACCCTTTCCCTGTTGAGATCCTTCCCACCCTTTCCCCCTGAGGCCTTTCCCCCCCTGAGAGCTTCTCCTTCCTTAGGTCTTTCCCCCCTGTCCCTGTTGGCCTTTTTTCCCCCAGATCTTCTCCCTTTCCTCCCTAAGATCTTTTCCACCCCTTTCCCTGTTGAGATCATTTCTCCCCTTTCCCCCTTAAGGCCTTTGCCCCCAGATCTTCTCCCTTTCCTCCCTAAGATCTTTCCCCCCCTGAGATCTTCTCCCTTTTCCTCCCAATAAGATCTTTTGCCATTTTTCCCTGTTGAGATCCATTCCCCCTTTCCCCCCTAAGGCCCTTTCTCCCTCTGAGCTTCTCCCTTTTCCTTCCTAAGATCTTTTCCCCCCTTTCCCTGTTGGGCTTTCCCCCCTAAGTCCTTTTCTCCCAGATCTTCTCCCTTTCCTCCCTAAGATCTTCCCCCCCCCCCCCTTTCCTTCCTAAGATTGTTTCCCCCCTTTCCCTGTTGAGATCCTTCCCACCCTTTCCCCCTGAGGCCTTTCCCCCCTGAGAGCTTCTCCTTCCTTAGATCTTTCCCCCCTGTCCCTGTTGGCCTTTTTTCCCCCAGATCTTCTCCCTTTCCTCCCTAAGATCTTTTCCACCCCTTTCCTGTTGAGATCATTTCTCCCCTTTCCCCTCTAAGGCCTTTGTCCCCAGATCTTCTCCCTTTCCTCCCTAAGATCTTTCCCCCCCTTTCCCTGCTCAGATCCTTTCCCCCCTTTCCCCCCTAAGGCCTTTCCCCCCCTGAGATCTTCTCCCTTTTCCTCCCTAATTTTTCCCCCTTTCCCTGTTGGCTTTTCCCACTAAGTCCTTTTCTCCCAGATCTTTGCTCCCTTTCCTCCCTAAAGTCTTCCTCACCCTTTCCTCACTAAGATCTTCCATCTTCCCCCTTTTCCTTCCTAAGATCTTTTCCCCCCTTTCCTTGTTGAGATCCTTTCCCGCCCTTTCCCCCCTAAGGCGTTTTCCCCCCCAAGATCTTCTCCCTTTTCCTCCCTAAGATCCTTTGCCCCCTTTCCCTGTTGAGATCCTTTCCCCCCTTTCCCCCTAAGGCCTTTTCCCCCCTGAGATCTTCTCCCTTGTCCTCCCCAAGATCTTTTCCCTTGGTTGAGATCCTTTCCCCCTTTCCCCCCAAGATCTTCTCCCTTTTCCTCCCTAGGATCTTCTCCCACCTTTCCCTGTTGAGCTCCTTTCCCCCTTTTCCCCCTAAGGCCTTTTCAGATCTTCTCCCTTTTCCTCCCTAAGATCCTTTGCCCCCTTTCCCTGTTGAGATCCTTTCCCCCTTCCCCCCTAAGGCCTTTTCCCTGCCTGGGACCTTCTCCCTTTCCTCACTGAGATCTTTCCCCCCCTTTCCCTGTTGAGATCCTTTCCCCCCTTCCCCCCCTACGGCCTTTCCCCCCGCTGAGATTTTCTTCCTATTCCTCCTTAAGATCCTTTGCCCCCTTTCCCTGTTGAGATCCTTTCCCCCCTTCCCTTTAAGGCCTTTCCAGATCTTCTCCCTTTTCCTTCCAAGATTGTTTCCCCCCTTTCCCTGTTGAGATCCTTCCCACCCTTTCCCCCCTCAGGCCTTTCCCCCCCCTGAGAGCTTCTCCCTTTTCCTTCCTTAGATCTTTCCCCCCTTTCCCTGTTGGCATTTTTTCCCCCAGATCTTCTCCCTTTCCTCCCTAAGATCTTTTCCACCCCTTTCCCTGTTGAGATCATTTCTCCCCTTTCCCCCCTAAGGCCTTTGTCCCCAGATCTTCTCCCTTTCCTCCCTAAGATCTTTCCCCCCCCCCCTTTCCCTGCTGAGATCCTTTTCCCCCTTTCCCCCCTAAGGCCTTTCCCCCCCCTGAGAGCTTCTCCCTTTTCCTTCCTAAATCTGTTCCCCCCCTTTCCCTGTTGGGCTTTCCCCCCTAAGTCCTTTTCTCCCAGATCTTCTCCCTTTCCTCCCTAAGATCTTCCCCCCCCCCCCTTTCCTCCCTAAGATCTTTCCCACCCTTTCCCTGTTGAGATCCTTTCCCCCCTTTCCCCTTTCCCTCCCAAGGCCTTTCCCCCCCTGAGAGCTTCTCCCTTTTCCTTCCTAAGATCTTTTCCCCCCTTTCCCTGTTGGCCTTTTTTCCCCTGATCTTCTCCCTTTCCTCCCTAAGATCTTTTCCACCCCTTTCCCTGTTGAGATCATTTCTCCACTTTCCCCCCTAAGGCCTTTTTGCACCAGATCTTCTGCCTTTCCTCCCTAACATCTTTCCCCCCCCCCCCCCAGTTCCCTGTTGAGATCATTTATTTCCCCCCTTTTCCTTCTAAGGCCTTTTCCCACCCTCAGTTCTTCTCCCTTTTCCTCCCAAAGATCTTTCCCCCCCTTTCCTCTAACCTTTTCCCTGAGTTCGTCTCCCTTTGCCTCCCTAAGATCTTTTCCCCCCTTTCCCGCTTAAGATCCTTTCCCCCGTTTCCCCCCTAAGGCCTTCCCCCCAAGATCTCCACCCTTCTCTTCCCAAAGTCTTTTTCCCCCTTTCCCGTTTGAGATCCTGTCCCCCCATTGCCCCTTAGGGCCTGTTCCCCCCGAGAAAGCTGAAATGGTGCCCCTGGGGAGGGGTTAGGGGAGGGGTAACAGGTAAAGAGGTAAGGAGCATTTTTTGTGTCCAACACGCCGCCTGTTGTCGGCGGACTTCATCCTGGACATCTATACTATAGTGTTTGGGGCTTCAACCATTGGTTTCAATAAGATGGGTTGAGCGAGGTAAAATGTCTAAGTTTCCTTTCACGTGGGTTCATCCTCCACAGGGTGTGTCTTTTTTTCCAGATAGCTGACAGCTATACGGGGTTCTTACTTCTAAAGAGAGGCGGGCTGCTCGCTGCAGGTGCTGGTCAGGGTGCTGTTTGGGGCTGAATTTTTGATGCATGGTGCTGTTGGCGGTGCTGGTTTGGCGCTGCTGGTCTTGGTGCGCTGTTGCGGGTGCTGGTCATGCTGTTTGGTGTGCTGGTGCTGTGTGTGGTTGCTGGCTTGTTTGGCGATGCAGTCAGGCTGCTCAGGGCGCTGTTCTAATCTCCCGTATCTGGGAGAATCTGGGGTCTATGGTGCAATTCGGGCAAATCTCGTTTCCATTCTCCCTTATGGTTGTCGTTGGGACACATTTTTCCCATTTTTGCTTCTTGTGGTTTAGTGGTTGAACTCCAAATCCAAATCCAACTGCTGAAGTTTGAGGATTTTCGCTCCCCAACGTCAAGTTAGGGAAGACTAGAGAACTGGGATTGGATCCACGGATCCTGGCAGGGATTGGCCTGTCACGGAGTCGAGTAATGGCAATACCTGGGCGTCTCCTAAGGCGGAGCACCGCAACATCCAAAAGGGGGGGTGGGGGGCCTGGGGGGGCAGTTTCGGACCCCCCGTCAGCTGCTCAGGAAGAGACGGCATGTCTGACCTACGCAAATATCATTCACCAAGTCGAGACTGAAGGCGGGAGTGAAGGCCGAAATGGCCTTGCGTTCAGGCTGCCACTGTGTTGGATGCTCCAGGCTGGCGTAAACCTTGAATTTCATTGTTTGAATGATGAATCCAGTTCCATGAGGCCCTTCTGTTTGTTTGAGGGCAGCCGCAACCGGTGACACAATGCCCACCAGCCACAGATCCCCCCAGCCAGCTTGAAACAAGGAAATTGCCAGCAAGCATTGGTACTTTTGCAGAGGCCGTGCCACTCAGTCCATCCTGCAGTGACAAGTATGATCTATATCCGAGCAGGGCTCCTTAAAAGATATTCATTTTGCAACCAGTTGAAACATGTTGCTTTTTCAACACCAAAATAAAGTTGGAAACCACCATTTACAAGTTGCAATGGCAACAACTCAGGTGTTTTTCATGCATCCGGATCCCTGCCGAGGGTCACCTTGGGCTAGGAACCGACGTGACTTTCTCAGGCTCTGCTGCTTTGAATTTGTTGGAATCGTCTCCCTTTTTTGCCCGTCCCTCGTGTGTTTTTTTCACACCTCTAGTCTGAGGTATATTCCCACCCAAGTCTAGCGACTTCGTTTTTTTCACACATCTCTAGTCTCAGGTATATTCCCACCCAGGTCTAGCGACTCGCCAAGGTTTTTTTGGGCTTGAATTTTCCTTTCAGCTTGTCCTCCCACGTCACATGCAACTAAACCGGAGGTCCCTGAAAGAACATGTTGCTCTTCAATGATTGTTTGGTGCTAGGTTCCATGTTGATTCATAGAGGGTATCTCAAACATCAGGGTTGGGTCAAGTGTTGAGTGAGTTTGCTTTGTCCGTTTCGATAGGACAAGCCGTACACCCTGTTTGTCTCAAATTCTTCCGACCGCCTCCGTCGTCATCATATTGACCTCCCAGCTCCTTTCGAAAGGCCTTTAACATGCTTGATGAGATCCAACCCCCCCCCACACCCAAAAAAATCCAACGTGCAAGCTGGCCCTCAACTATTCTTTGTGTTTTATGGGATTGACCGGGGAGGGAGGGATTTTCCGCTTGTCCCGTGAATGTGATGTGATTGATTTCAGGGGAGTGTGGCCATACCGGCATACCATATCATTGAAGTGTCCTTGATTGTCCCCACCACCCCCTGAAAAATGGAGTTGGGGGATCCATTCTCCCTTTTATTGGGAAGACTAGATAAATGGAATTGGGAGCCCCCCACCCCCCTCCCCCCTGCAGCAGGGGGCATGGTAGGTTGTGCAACAAGGTCGCCCTCGGAGAATTTGGACGCCAGGCACACCGCTGAACGACGCCTGGTCCCAGCTTCCCGCGCCGGGCCTCGCCAAGGCATACTGGAAGCTCCCCGAGGCGGCGGAACGGAAGAGGGGCGTGGACATGGGGGGTGGGGTGTCAGGGCCGGGATGGTCCGGGAACAACCCTGTGTTTGTGTGGTTGTTTGGGGCTGGAAGGGGGGTTTGGCGTGTTCGGTTGGGCCGTCTGTCGTCTTTGGCACAGTTTGAGGCTCTTGCTTGTTGAAATTTCGATCATCTTGCTCCTGGAGAAGGCGGATCGATATGTCTGATGTTAGTGTCTGTTCAAGCTTTGCTTTGAGGTTTTTGTTCGGGGGCCAACCTGATTGTTCACCTCGAGTTTTCGCAGGGTTTCCGAGCCATTTGCCTTTGTGGATCCTCCAAAAGTGGCAGCTTAAATGAACGCCACAAGGTAAATTGCGACTTTTGAAAGGGAAATCCAGTGACCCCTGTTTGAGATGTACAACCATTAGTTGATTGATGGCTTGGGGATGCGACGGGTCCCCTGGTTCTTGTAGACTGCAAACCACCAATCCAAACCCGGTTTTGTGTGTGTGTGTATTTGTTCTATTGTGCCCCGAAGGTAGACTGGCGTTCCAGAAACAGGGACCCCTCTGCAGAGACATTGGGGGGACGGCCGTGCGGGAATTGGCTGACCACGGGTCAGGTCAACGGTTGGCATGTTTGGTGGCAGGATTCGTTCGATATCTCCCTGGTAAAATTAGGATTTCTGCCGGTTTCGCTGCGCTACGTACTCCCCTGAGATTGTTGAGGAGGGTCATTACTACAGTGCAGGTCGATGCAGTCGGCCCTTTTCGGACAGTGCTGGGATGGCCACAGAGAAGTTTTTTATTTTTTCGTGTTTGGTGGGTTGTGGTCTAAGTAGCTTTTAAATTTGAATTGATATACAGTTACATCATCATAACTTATGCACAGTCACATCTTGCCCGCGCCGGATTGCTCATGTTGGCTTCTAGTACTTAGTAGGCTCACCGCCCACCCCCCAACCCCCTCCTGTCATGTCGGACATCATGCCAATGCTGAACATCATCGCCGCTGAGCTGCGCCGGGGCCACAGTGTTTTTTACCGGTGGCTTCGGCCCCGGTTAGCGGTGGCTTCGGCCCCGGTCACTTTACCAGTGGCTTCGGCCCTGGTCTCTTTACTGGTGGCTTCGGCCCCGGTGGCTTCGACCCAGGTTACCGGTGGCTTCAGCCCCGGTCAGGCGGCTTCGGCCCCGGTGACTTTTACCGGTGGCTTCGGCCCCGGTTACCGGTGGCCTCGGCCCCGGTCACTTTACCAGTGGCTTCGGCCCTGGTCTCTTTACTGGTGGCTTCGGCCCTGGTCTCTTTTACTGGTGGCTTTGGCCCTGCTTTTCTCTACCTTTCCACCCCTTTTCGTGCTTACTCACTCTTTCACTCAACTCACTCACTCAACTCACTCACTCCACTCACCCACTCACTTACTCACGCACTCACTCATGCTCACTCACATACTCACTCACACAGACCCACATTCTCAATGACTCACTCACTCACTCACTCACTCACTCACTCACTCACTCACTCACTCACTCACTCACTCACTCACTCACTCACTCACTCACTCACTCACTCACTCACTCACTCACTCACTCACTCACTCACTCACTCACTCACTCACTCACTCACTCAGACTCACTCACTCACTCACTCACTCACTCACTCACTCACTCACTCACTCACTCACCACTCACTCACTCGCTCTGTTCACCTCACCTCACTTCACTCCACTCCACTCCACTCCAGGCCACTCCACTCCATTCAACTCAACTCAACTCAACTCAACTCAACTCAACTCAACTCAACTCAACTCAACTCAACTCAACTCAACTCAACTCAACTCAACTCAACTCCACTCCACTCCACTCCACTCCACTCCACTCCACTCCACTCCACTCCACTCCACTCCACTCCACTCCACTCCACTCCACTCCACTCACTCCCTCACTCCCTCACTCCCTCACTCCCTCACTCCCTACTCCCCACTCACTCACTCCCTCACTGCCTCACTCCCTACTCACTCACTCACTCACTCACTCACTCACTCACTC